AAAATCTTTAGTGCAAAAATGTAACATGGAAATCAATAAAAGCTTATTGACTTATATTCACTTTTTCAAAATGTACTTCCAAATCTGAGATCATTTGTAGTTGGGAAGATTTTCCTTTTTGATCGTCGTCTGATTTGGATTCTTGTCAATCATTTACTAACATTAGTTTCCATGCTGATATTTATAATGTACCAGGTCATATTAAATTGCTTTCAGTTAGAAGCCTTAGGCTCTTCCAAGAAAATTCACATCTTTTAAAGTAAGTTGATCTTTTTCAAATGAAGACAATGTGGGCTTTCAATAACAAAGTTATGCTACTGAATCTAAGTTGGATCTTTCTGTTAATTGCGTATAATCTTGTTGAAGGGGCCAGAGAAGCCATTTTGCTAAGAAATTACAGAAATATAACAAACAGGTATGATTAAATATTAACCACAGTGATTAACTTTCTATTTTTATTTCACTCCTTTTTCCCTCTCTGTAGATAGGATAGTTACTTTAGGTTGTTCTTCTCCACACACATTCCTTCAGGCATCTGGCTTAAACCCCCTGCCCATTTATAGCTGATAATTGTGGTTTATGGAATTAGATGACCCTGAGAAAGGAGACACCGAGCCTGTAGCAACCACGATAAAGGAGAAACAGAGGCATCCCTGGCTGACTGAGAGGCCTGAGGGTGCCCACTCCCACGCTCTCCCCTCCTTGTAGAGTTAGCCTGTCTAGGTAGGTTCGGGGAACTTGAAGGACACTCTCTCCTGATCAAGGACGGCTTTATATCACTGATCAGAAGAATGGCAGAGAGGTCACAAGGCAACAACTACTCATCCCAATAACAAGAAGAGAGCATTATCAACATTCCTCAACCCTCCTACCCCATAGCCCCATTTCTTTTAAAAACCCTTACCATGTCTTAACTTGGAAAGACAGACTTTTTAGAGAAGTGATTCTCTCTGTCTCCTTGGGTATACATACTCAATAAATTCTTTTGCTTTCCCGCTTCACCCTGTTGTGATCATTGGCTCTGTGCAACAGGGGTAAGGATCTTGTTCCTGCAACAATCTTACTCATTTATAAAGGGCAACATGAGACATTTCTGGTACTTTTTCTTTAGAACTAATAAACATTTATTCAGTGCACCAGCGTTTCCTTATATTTGGTTAATGCAGTGAACATAGTTCCATTGCAAGGTTAGACTTGGCTCATTTTGTTGGGTTTCATAAAGCCATGTGCTCATCCCCTGCAGGGCTCTGTCCCTTATTAATATGACTCCTGTGGTAGGTGCTGATGATAACTAACCCAGACTCTGATACCATGTACTCTGCCCTGAGTACTTTGCCACAGGGGTAGGAGGAGAGGTAGTGAAATCAGCCAAAGAACACCTCTTCTTTTCAAGATTTCGTAATCCTGTTAGGCGCAAACAGTAAACACATCAAAAAGGTGAACAAAATTTAAAGCCCTTTGAAGGTGAAAACTGATGAGACACTCATGCAAATAAAGGCCAAGAAGCAAGTACATGTTATCGTCGTTAGTGCTGTTGAGTCAGTTTTGACTCAGAGTGACCCCATGTACAACAGAAGGAAGTACTGTCCATTCCTGCACCATCCTCACAATTGTTGCTATGCATGAGCCTATTGTAGTCACTGTGTCAATCCATCTTACCGACAGTCTTCCTTTTTCACTGACCATTTACTTTTTTTTAATTTTTTAAAATTTTTATTGTGATCTGGGTGAAAGTTTACAGAGCAAATTCATTTTCCATACAGTAGTCCATACACATTTTATCTCATGACATGGACTGTAATTCCCCACAGTGTAACAGCTCTCTTCCCAATTCCTCCCCATAGCTTCCTCTTCCCTGTGTCCTTCCTTCCCATGCACTCCTGCGCCCTGAGCTATCTCCCTGTGCATACACTACCCTTCTGTTCTCCCATGACTGATCTCTGCAAGTAGTGTATCTACCTG